GCTGTTATATTTAGATGTTTTTTCCCTCAGTCATAAACACAGAGATCTGCCAAGAAACCTTATGTCCACCTAAGGTGTCCGTGTGATGATCTGTGTTTCAATGGTGTATAGTGTTTTTTTTTATTCTCAGAACATCTCCATAGTATCATGTAAACTCCTGGTCTTCTTCAGCAAATCATGGGCAGTAACGATGTTAGAAAATTGAGGAGTGTTTTTTCAATCATTTCAGACAAGTGAGGTTGCAGGGAAAAGTAAACAGCTGTCTGCCTAATTTACCGCTCATCAGGATGTTTGAGTTTTGCCGACTCATCTTTCAGTGTTTTTTTGTTTGTTTGGTTGTTTCCATCACTCACTCTCCTGCAGGGAGATTTTCTTCGATCCTCTTGATAAACTTCATGCGGATTTCCGTCACATTGTCCCCTCTCAGAGTGTCCTGAGAAAATTTCACATCCACAGCCATCTGGACCTGAAACAGAATCAGATTTGTTCACTTTTATTCACACAAACTGTTCTTTCTTGATGAATTTGTAATTCTCTTTTCACATGTCTTAGCATCACATCATTGGACCGCCTACAAGCGATCCAAAATGCTGCCGCTAAGCTGGTAGCATGGTCAAGCACTTTCTTATATGGAGGAACTTTTTGAAGCCGTATAACACCAGCAGGCCTCTGAGGTCTCCTGATCAGGGTCTGCTGCTGTTTCTTTGCAGTAAACTTAAACTTAAGGAGAGTGCTTTTCGGGTGTTGCTCCTAAACTTTGGAACTGGGTACCACTGGAACTGAGAGCTGTGAACTCGGTTGACATTTGTAAAAAGCAGTTAAAGACCCATCTGTTTAGACTTTTATTGTTCTTTGACTTATTTTATTGTGAAGCACTGTGTAGCGTCTGCTCTTGGAAGGTGCTACATAAATACACTTTACTAACCTTTAAGTAATGTGAGTAAAGGTAGACTTTGACAATATGGATCTTGTACATATTTAAAATGTCTCTTTGAAATGAGTATTTCTCTTGACCCTACCATCTCCAGGGCTCCTCTGAGGACTCCACACAGCAGGTTTGAGTAAACCAGCGTGCTGTGGTTATCCGGCAGCTCCACAAAGTCCACAAGTGGGTTGTTCTCAAGGATGAGGGAGAACTCGTCCCCTGCTGGGCTCCAGTTAGTCACACTCGGAGTGACCCCCAGGTACATCTTAAAGGCAACCTAACAGCACAGTGAGGAGTGGATGAAAAACAAATGAGGGCAGGACTTAAGACAAAACAGGTGTAAGAATATGTCAGCTTATATTGATAACTATTTATGATGATTTACTCAGCGCACATGCATGTAACTAAATGCTCATCAGCAAACCAGTGAACATGTGAAAAACGGAGGCACTAACCATCCTCATGACTATAACTCAGATGTTCCTACAGCTTCTAATGCAAACTTCACATTGCTTACGTCAGGCAAACATTAAATGAATACCTGCACACACCTGAAATCTGAGAACTCTTGTCTCCTTCTTCTTTTCCTCTGCAGCACTCCCGTGATTGTCACAGGAGGGTTTTGCATGCTTTCTCACGCATTCAAAATCATCTCAAATTAGATAAAGTGTAGGCGCTCCACAGTGAAAATATTCACTGGCACTAGGCAGATTTCTTATTTCTGCTTATAAGTGAAATGATAAGGTAGTTTGAAAAAAAGTTTTTCAGAACATACAACAGACCTCCTTCATTTAACTAATGAAGGACAGGTGGTGGTTTCTGAGTTAGCTAAAGGTCATGTGATATCCTCAAGCAGGGGCCATCCAAACCGCTGTCCCTCAGTGGTCCTCGGTTTACAGACACGGCCCTTCTCTCTATGACCACGAGCCAGGTCCCTGAGCTAGTGTGGGGTTACATCTGTGGAACGACTCATGAGCGAGCTGCAGAAACAGCTGGGGTACTAAACACAATCAGGTGCACACATGCCATTAAAATCAAACTAAAAGTACCTGAACAGTGACACAGGTCACTAAATGTGCATCATGTCTCTGAGGGAGAAGATTGCATTCCACATGTGTGAATCCTCACCTTTTGAAGATCAGAACTGTCAGCCTCTAAAAGGCAATGACGAATGTGATCTTGTACTCAGGTTTATTAGGATGCACACTTGGACCGAGTCAAAAACATCAGTCGCCCCCCCCCCCTACATCCTTCCCTTCTGAACCTCATCTAGGGGTTAGGATGTTTCATCACAATCATTCGTTCTAAGCTTTCTTTCCTGTCGTCCTTCTTCCTGCCTCAGTCTTGGGAAAAAGGCCACGGTCATGCTCTGGTTGGCCCGGAAACCTTCCAATTACCTTAGCGATGACATCCGCCGTTTCTCGGAAATCCTGACACCTGCCGATGCTGGAGCGTGCCAGGAAGTCCTCAATCAGACGCACTCCGATGTTATAGCCCCTTATGAGAGAAAAAGCACAAAAGAAAAATGTTAGCACAGAGATATAGAAGGTTGCAAATGTTCCAACACATCTCAAGGTCATTCACTTGCAGACGCTTACAATCATGATAGAAAAGCCATGGCAACTTATCCCAACTAGAGGATCTGAAGACAACTGATGCGTCCCAGCCCCAAAAATGGCGTGCCTCGACGTTTAGCTTGCGACGCGCAGAGTGGGCACATCAGACTCACTACCTTCTAAGGCCAGATGAGACAACCCTCATCATGATTAGCTTGGAGAGAGCTTAGGGTTGCTCCAACCAGAAAAGCAAAGTACATCCAGGCCAAAGTCCTGTCAGCGTTAAAAGGATGTTATGACTTTTTTTTTTTTTTTTTACCCATCTATTTTTCTTAATCTTATTTTGTGGAAAAAAAAACAAACGTTTCCAGCAGTACCTTCCAAAGAAATGTTCTCGCTTTTAAAAAAAAAAAAAAAGCTGTGTTCTCTGCTTCAAAGGACTTTAAACATTTTTAGAAATACCAAGACCTTAGGTGGAACCTCTGACACAGAAGTGTTAGAAATCAAACCTGATTATGTCATCGCTCTGCATAGTAGTGTCAGTGATGTTGAGAGGAGAGCCTAGCAGAAGTGTGAAGGTGTGGGTTAAAGGGAGAGAGGCCAGATATGTCTTTACTTTTCCTCTTGGTGAAACAAGCAAAGGGCAAACTTTGACATTTCAATTTGTGCAGATGGTGTACCGCTTATTAAAGCACAGAAAACTGTAAAATGTAAACATCCATTTAATACATTACTATTATCTCTGTGTTTTCAGTGACTACAGTGATGTTAAAATTACACACATACACATAATGACATACTATAGTAGTGCTTTCACACTTGCTGATATATTCTCCTTAAGTTTTGGGGTGAGCTGCATGTGTGAACGCAAACAGCTGAATTTTTTTAACTCGGACTGTATCCAGAGTTTTTCCTGCCAGCCCCTTGGTATTTTTTCTGCATGTAGTCAGAGTGAGCCGATGTAAGAACGCAGCAGGATTCTATCAGGAGAGATCACCTTGAGCGAGCGGGACAGGGTGAAGACTTTTTTTTCCCTCATTGATCAGTGCATGTCTGTAGATTGAATGCATGCGACATCTAAGATCTCTGTGCGTGTAATTAAACTGCTTTCTGTTCACCAGTTTGTTCTTCCCCGCTCTCCTGTTGATACTGTTATTCTGTCAACCTACACATAGCATTGATATAAACGCAAATATTCTCATTATAGCGTCGCAAAGCAGACTCTGTTGCTTCACCTGACACTTCTGCGTCATTCTTTTTACATCACGTCTTGCCTCAGGACACAACCAGACCTCATGGTAAGTACAAGATCTATGCATTTAATGAAGCAAAGATCATACATGGGATAATCTGAATATAAACAGAGGTAATGACAGAATATAAGGGTTTATTTTTTTTACATCTTGTCCAGTTGTTTATTGACTTCCTCGTCATTCTCGTAGTCTTTACACAGCTGGGTGACGAGGGCTCCATAGGTCAGCGTGAACAGCTCTGAGTTCTACAAAACAGAAAAAACAACAAAATTCTCTTAAAATACCAAAACTCTCAATATTAATGTACATCTATTTGGAAGTAATCAGTTGGAGGTTGTTGTTGTTTCTTTTTTTTTTACAAAAAAAACAGATCAGGTTAAATGTCAAGTTTTATATCTGATTCTTTCCATAATCTCAATGACTCAAGTCACCTCCAATAATTAACAAAAAAACAGATGGGATCTTGGCAGTAAAATGTTATCATCATGATCCACACTTTTTAAGAAGTAGGTGCCTCTCCTATGCTTATTATTATAAACACCATCACAGGCTACAGGAAGTCTGACGGTCCATGCTATGGACTGCTCATGGTTCTAAAAAGGAAAGTCTAAACCCGCTTTATCTGATCTCATGCACTACATCACTTTATTCTATCCTCCTATATCAGTATTCATACAGTTCTGGTTACTTTATTCCTGTTGTTTCTTATCCATCATTGCACTACGGTCACTTTATTTATCTAATTTTTACCTTTAAAGTTATATATACTTATATATTAGTTCTGTTGTTCCATTATTCACCATGCACCTTATAACTTATCATTTAGTATTTAGTCTTTAGCCTACCTGCACATAGCTCTGTATATATATATTTATTTCTCGTTTACTGCACATAGTTATGGTTACATCTGGTTACATCTGTTAGTCCGATCACTGTCCACTTATATCTACTCTTTTTATATTTAGTATTTAAGTTAAGCTTTAAGCTTTAAGTTGTATTTAAATTGACCCTTTATATTTAGGTTAAAATGTTTCGTCTACTTGCACTGTTGTTAATTTACTGCTCTGTGTGCCTTTGAATTCCCCCCCGGGGACAAATAAAGTGTTTTTATTTATTCAAATTTGAATTAAAGTAAGCAGTTTAAGTGCAGGTTTGTTATAAAACTTTACTTCTTACACTTTGTATACTATTCACTTATATATTGAAAATATTTTCTGACAGTCACGATTGATAGTCATGATTTATAAATGATGTTTTAATGAACTTGGTGGTGTTTCGGCTGTGTTCCTGTTATCTTGTATTACAGAGCAATTCGGTCAGTAGCTATGTTGATTTATGTAACTTTTCGTTTGGCAATGTTTTCTGTAATCGCATCATTTTTTTTATTTAAGGTGTTTTAAGTTATCTGTGATGTAAAGTGTTTTAAGTTATCTGGGATGTAAAGTGTTTTAAGTTATCTGGGATGTAAAGTGTTTTAAGTTATCTGGGATGTAAAGTGTTTTAAGTTATCTGGGATGTAAAGAGGGGATAATGTTGCACTGAGGATGCTAGATATTTAGCTTGGAGGCTACGACTCTCTGCACTTGTTAACAAGGCCGTAAGTATTGAATAAGGCCACATTACACTGGTTGAAATGCTTTTCATACATCTAGCAACGCTCATGAGACACACAGAAAGAAGTGACATGCAGTCTAGTTCACAGAAAAATAAGGTCGCAAGTTGAATTGTTAGCTGTTCGGCATTAGCATTGTGCTAGCTGGTGTAGCTATGTTTGACTGTCATTAATCCTGCGGGAGTCGCCTACCATCTTCTTGCTGTCTGTCGTTCGGTTGGATTGCCTGGACATTGTGGACAGTGTTACAGGATTACACAGGTGGCGACGCAGATATTAATCCTTTATTTATTTTATTCTGGTTGAGCAGATATTTCCGTAATCACCAGTTCAGTCACGCACTTCCGTACACGTCAAGCTAGCTAGATTCAAAGCGTCACTTCCGGTTATCGTGTAAATTAAAAGATTGATCGTGAAATATACCTTAATAATATAAAACACAGAGAACCACGGTAAACAACGTGCGAGAGAAATACTACTAACATGAATAAATTTACCTTATTGTTGATTTCCCTTTCTTGCATACGAAATGTATTTTTAAAGCAGAAACATATTAAACACTTTACTTTGAAGGGAAATAAATGGTGATTCCGGTATAAGCCTATCTAGCTTCACGTTTAGGCATCTGTCTCAACTTTTCTCGGCTGTTTTCCTCTTTGCACGTTGTTTTATCGCCGTCTCGCGTTTTGGAGGGGGACAGCGTGAGACTGTCCTTCTGGTGCCTTCTCATGGTTGACCACATGGTGGCGGTATGCGTAGTTTTACAGTCTATGAAATGAATTGATAGTAAGATAAGTCACAATACCAGATACTCTCTTTACAAATCGAGAAACACACTTTAAATAGTGTTACTTTTAAATCTGATAATACTTTTGGTTTTTCTTAACATGTAAATGAAAGTGTGCGTGTTTAAGGATGTTTGTGTGCGCGCGCACATGTGAGTATTTTAGCAAGAGAGAGAGAGAGGGGGGGAGAGAGAGGGAGAGAGAGAGGAGGAGAGAGAGAGAGAGAGAGGAGAGAGAGAGGAGGAGAGAGAGAGAGGGAGAGAGAGAGAGAGAGGGGGAGAGAGAGGGAGAGAGAGAGGAGGAAGAGAGAGAGAGAGAGAGAGAGAGAGAGGGAGAGAGAGAGGAGGAGAGAGAGAGAGAGAGAGAGAGAGAGGAGAGAGAGGGAGCTTTTCTGAGAGCTGCTGGAGTCAGTACCAATCAGAGATAGGTTTCAGATGTATGTTTAAATTACAATTGTATCTTATCAGTGTCATTGTGATTTTTTTTTTTTTTTGTTGACTAGTGTATTTGCATCTCTAATAACCCGTATGGTTGGCAGGAAGGCAATCACCCCATCGCTGTGAAACAAACTCGCTCTGCTGTCCATCCAAGGAGGAAGAGGAACGGAGCACATCGCGCTGCACGCTGTGTGTTACTTCGCATTAGAGGCTATTTGACAAATAGCCGGCTCGGACTGTTTGGGGGGGTCTGTGGAGGAGGTGGACCGGTGCGATGATGACGGGGAAATCTGTGAAAGACGTTGACAGATACCAGACTGTCCTCAACTCTTTACTGGCACTGGAAGATAATAAATTCTGCGCTGACTGCGAATCTAAAGGTGGGTGTCTTGATCATCTCCTCTGCCTGCAAACAGCCGACTCTCCTGCTCGTTTACTACGCTAGAAAATGCGGCATTGCATTCATCACCCATCGACCAATTAGGTTGTACAATGGTGCAAGACACGGGGCCACATCCTTACAAGGCTGGAGCGTGGCAGGCAGCTTTTTTTTTTAACATGACATTAATTAGGGTATCCATTAACACCATGTAGCCAATAGGTAAGGTTTGATGAGTAATTCTTCTCGTCTAAAATCATTCTTTGATGAGGGAGAAGTTGGAAACTATGAAATTGTCCTCCACATGTCAAACATTACTTGGGCTAATTTACAAGAGCGCCTCTTAGAAATCTGATGCTCAGTGAACCCAAAACCACTGTTCTTTCAGAGACATAGAAACACTTAAATTGATTTTGAGTCACCCTGAACACATTGTTTCTGCATGGTGAGTGTTAATGGGAACAAGGGCATGCCTTACACTTAACAAAAGTGGACTACAACATTTCGACTTCATTGTGGCATTGTTATAGCTTTATGTATGCGACTTCTTGTAATTCCTTCAGCCTCAGTAATTACGTGTGGCAGACAATGGATCAGGGAAGTCATTGTTCTGACGTCACACTGTCTTTCATGTTTCTTTTTTTTTTATTCAAGGATGTCTATAACCTGCTGCAGTCAATCTTAAGATGTTTTATAGGATAATTCAACACATTAGAGTCGCCACACTGAGGCCTTGAAACTTTGCCATCATTTGCTATTTGCTAAACCAGATTTACTAAGATGCTGCTGGTGGTTGTGGGTCAACAGTAAACACTGCTGCTTTGGGAACAAATACACTGAGCTGGAGACGGAAACAACAAAGTGAGTCTACACGATCTCTCTTAGTTTAACGCTCGGACTTACTGTCAATAAGTAAATTCCATATGTGACTTTAAAATGTTTTAAAGCATGCACGTTATGTAGGTCTGTACATCACTGCAGATAAAGTGCAATGCCACATAACAATCATTTGTGACGAAAACCTATAGATGGTGAGTGATCAACTCCATTGTGTTGTTAGTGATGACAGAATATCATGTTGTAGAGAGTTGTGACATCATTTTTGTTTACTTGCAAATAACACCAGATTTTATAGTGTACATCTGGAGTTTTTTTAAGTACTTTTATAATTAAATGTCTCAGTACCATTTGGTCCTCTTGATACTAATTCACAAACCTAGACTTGAGTTAACCTTGACCAGTCTAATACCAAGTACCTCACCATTACTAGTTTTAAAAAAAAAAGTATCACCATAACTACTTTAACCAACTTTTATTATCTTAAATGAACATTTCTACACACTGGTTGTGAAATGCTGCTAGCTCTGACCAATGTTACACTCTTTCCTAGAAGCACTCTGTTGTTTGTTGCTGCTCTAAAATACTGTCTGTGTATGAGAGCAATAAGAGGAAACAAGTTGCTTGTTTTTTGTTAGGCCTGCACAATATGAGGAAAAACATACTGTGCGTTAACATTGTTCAATGATGGCAGATATAACATGTGCTAAATAAACAAATGATAGCGTTTGCATAGTAGCTTTGCAGTTCCTGTGTCGTTCTGCTGTTGAGCATGTACACACTGTACCTGTGTTTGTAACACCATCTCCAAATAACTCAAAATATGAGGAAGTCAAGTTCTTTTTCAACAATAGGTCCTTATAAATTAGAGCCTGACCGATTCATCGGCCAGTCGATATCAGTTTATCCAGCAACTATCTGTAACAACTTATTTTATCTCTGACATGCGCTGATATTAGATTTATTTACCAGTCAAAAAGCATTTCATTTAAGTTTCATTGTTTTACAACAGCAGTTCTCTTTCACAACAGAGTGTGTTGTATGGATTACAACAAGCATTATCACTCCACTGTGTGGAGATTTTAGATTTCATAGATTTTAGAAAGATATCAGCCGATATATCAGTATCAGTATTTTTTTTCCCTCCCCAATATCGATATCAGCCCAGAAAATCTCATATCGGTCGTGCCCTATTACGAACGACATTTTCCTCTTCTCTCTTTCCCAAGCAAAGGTGCAAGCGAACCTCACCTTTGCAACCAAATTGTGTCTGTGAAACGGAGCTAGGGGCTTCATCTGATTGGCCAAATGGTATGAATGCATGGCCCACACATCCATTGCAACATTTGATAGGACAATCGTTTGCATGTAAGGGTGTAAATCCATGACACAAATGGTTGAACTAAGGTTTCCATATGTTTATTGTGCATGCTCATACCCTTATTCATTATGCAGCTCTTTTAACAGTATTCAAGCATCTCTACTATTGGTCTATTTGATGATTTATAGGATTCCATTGTGTGCGTTTGAAGTGGTTCTGTTGTCACTCAATGGCACTGCTGGTGTTAAGATTAATGAGATTGGCCTTTCCATGGCTTATCTGAGAAATGATTTAAGAGGACAGTTGAACGTCACTCAGTTTCCACCTCAGTCATAAATTCTCAAGAGCAGACCTTGAGTGTACCTAAATCAGTGCATGCTGTCAATCAGGTGAAACCCTTGGGATTCCTCATGAAAACTTCATGAATAGTATGAGTAGAGAGCTTCCCATAATAACTAAGGTTACATTTATTTTGTGGTGCATGGTTTCAGGTTCAGGGCTTCCTTAACAGACAGTTAGACTGTTGAGGAAATGGAAAAGAAAACAGCGTCAGGGGTTGACAAAACAGCACAAAGATGGTTTAAAACCCCCTTTGATCTGTTACAGCGCCTGCAAGAATACTTTATGACAGAGAGGGATGTAAGCTGTTAGCTTTTCTCTGGATTTAAGCTGTGTCACGGGCAAAGGTAAAACATTTCTAATATTTGATGCAAACATTTACACAGTAGAGACGTGTACATTTTGTGCCGGAACAATTCCGGTGTCCAGTCTTTGTCTGCATCTCTGTATTTCTTTCTGGTCGCTGTCAAATGCAGGGGAAAGTGATCTGAGGTGCTGATGCTGCACCACAAATATTTCATAAGAAACACTTAAGGGGTCAGGTGGCTGCCGAAAAAAAAAAGAGGCTCTGATGTAGAGAGAATTATTTATTACTAGCATCCTTGCATAACACAAAATATCATCACTACTCTGACTTGAATTAGTTATCCTAATGATGGTGATTTTGCATAAAGACATTTCTGAAATCGATTTTCTACACCGTTATTTTTATCCTGTTTTTTTTTTCTTAGCTTTTTTTTGTTCAACAAGCCATGTTGATAGACAATAGTGGGTTTGTGTAGTGTTTGTCTCTGGTTGGGATGACGTAATGGGAAGGTCTTGGATGGATATAATCAAGAGATGTAACAAGAACACAGTGAATACTTTGTTTGGTAATACAAGGTTTTTGTTTCAGTGCACATTGCCTTTGGATGCCTCTTATAATAAGACATAAATAGAACCTTCAAACATTGTTAGACTTCAAGCAAACACACTTGGAACTGTTCAGAAGTCAATAAAAAAGAAAAGAAAACTGTGATCAGACGCTTGCGGCTTTTCTGAGGAAGTGACTCTTTTAGAACTGCGGTCCAAGAGAGCACAGGAAATAAATCACAAGGTGCCATTTTTTTTCTTTTGTTTAGGGGTAGACTTTGTATATAAAAGAATGTGAATTTCTGTCATTACATTCTTTTTCTCACATTTTCAAACATGCACTTTTCAACCCATGCCTCTGCGTTGGCTCTTTTGATTGGCGTGACTTTTCTCTCTGAAACAGACGAGTCTAATTAGGCTGCAGAAGAGATTAGTGAAGAGCAGAAAATAGCAACCACACACACACACATGCATGCACATACCTGGAAAGCGGAGGTTCTACATAAGCTTTAGTCTCACTAATGTCTCTGTTATTCGTCTTTTACTTTTAATACTTATAATCCATGATATTTTTCTGACATTTTGGTTAAGAGAACATATTCTGCATTTATTATTTCACATGTAAGTATGTCTCCACAAAGGTCACACATACACCGCAGCTCCCACCTCCTTGCATGTGACTGAGCTAATGTATCATATGACACTGTAATCTAGGTTTATGCTTGAAGAGAGGCATTTGTCCTCCTACCTGATTAGCAGTTTTCTGTTTTCAAATCTGTGTGTGTTACTCGACCGTGCTTTACAGTAGTTGACGAGCACACACTCCTACTAATCCACACACGTGCACACACACACACATGTGCACACCTTTAAGAAGCATGCCTGCCCTCTAGTCAGGTGTTAGGCCATATGGTGGGTGATGAGGTTTTGGTGTAATCTTGTTTGCTTTGTCAGAGATTACTGCGCGTTTATCACCGGGCCTCCCTCCGGGTGATTGAGGAGGAAGTGGACATGCATATGGAGGGAAGTGCATGCTTACAACAAAACACGCAAAAACATATTAGCGGTTTTATCATGGCCATCAACTGAAGCGATAGCGCAGCAATTGAAACATGATCTCTGCTTTTTGACTGTGGTTTACTACCTGTGGTGCAACTTTCAGTCTCTTCCTCTGTACTGCAAGACATGTATTCCTTTTTTTTCATTACCACTTCCTCACAGTGTGTCTCTTCTACCGTAAATCCTTAAAACTGCCAGGAAATAACAATGTGATGGTGGAGAGAGGGCGAGGCGAGTGCATAATGTAGTCAACAATTCAACCTCTGGCTTCAGTCTCAAGGGGAAGCATGCATATGTGTGTGTGTGTGTGTGTGTGTGTGTGTGTGTGTGTGTGTGTGTGCTTGTGTGTGTTTCCATAAAAGCCTTCCTCCTTTATTGTCTCCATTGTAAGTGTGTTTACGTACACGCCTGGCCCTGATTGCCATGGTGATATCACCTGGCGATATCATGCCTTATCCCTGCGCCTCCACCTAGCCTCCCTCCTTTCAAATCTCATCCAATGAGAAGCCAGCATGATTTTCCTTTGAGACGAGGAGGTGATTGGCTGTTTGTGTCCCCTGACTGGCACAGAGGTTAGACTCCCGGAGAACAAA